TATACATAAGTACAAAGGCTCTGGGGCAGCTGGCTTATGAGCCGGCTTGGTCTGAGCCGAGCCACACCTAAAACGAGCCGAGCCGCCTGAACTAGGCTCGTTGGCTGAGCGAGCCGAGAGCCGAGCCGAGCCGCTTCAGAGCGAGCCAAAGCCAGGCTCGGATCAAGCTCGGCTCGGCTCGGCTCGTGTCCAGCCCTATATGCAACTGAATAGATGGTGACAATTGAGCATATCTGAATTTATGTATGAGTAGAAGTACCAAGTAGGATATAGTCACCATCCAAGCCGATATCCTGAAAACACAAATTAACTCCAGAAATAGATGATCTTATATGCTTACACAGTTATTAACCTCAGGACCCTGTTTGTGCTGAATTATATATTACGACCCCTAGTGTTGAGCTGCGGCCAATGACATCAAGATACACTCAGTTGGCGCAGATATATCAAGGAATTTACTGCGGCCTAGTATTAGCTTACCAGATCATCGAGTAACTGGTCAAACACACCATGTAGAAGCTTAGGTGAGTTATATAAAGCTTCAGATGAAGTTGTTTCATTATCCTGCAGGTGCAAAAAATGGAGGCAAATTAAATATGACTGAGATGTTGTGTATGTGCCCTAGATTCCTCACAACATTGCCAACAAGTGCAATCCCCAGAAAACTGAATACTACCACGGAATACTACCATCAATGAGGGAATAAGAACAAAACACTTTGATCAAAAAAAAAGAAGAAGAAAACACATACCTCCCCATCCCCGCGGTCGAAATGCAGCAAGATCTCGCCGAGCAATCAAATCCCTTGCGAACGCGGCGTCCCCTTCCTCAGCACGACAAACATCACAAACAGCCTCGGGAACAGCACCACGCCGTCCAACCCCTCGGCGACCATCCTGGCCGCCTGCCGTGACAGCTCCGAGCGTGCCCCGTCAGCGCCCGACGCGAGAGCCTGGGCGGAAGGGTGGTTGTTGGGGGCTTAGCGCAAACCGGCGGGGCCGGAGCGGAGGACGCAGGAAACAAGCGTGGCTACGGCCTTGACGAGGCATGAGGCTAAGCGGGGAGACGAGGTGGCGGAGAGGGGCGCGATGAGCAACAATAGGGAGTCGTCCGGGGCGAGGATGTTGGCGTGAGTGGCCGCGAGGCGGGCGAGGGATCCGGAGGCGTAGGCAGCGACGGTGGCGTGCGGCCGTGCGGGGAAGCGACGAGGGAGGAAATTCCATCGTGGGCGGCGGCGGCGGGGAGAGGAGGGGGCAGCGTGAGGAACAAACGACGGTTGCTCACTCGCTAGTTTTTTCTGCAAGACCAAAGTGGGCTTCACGCAAGGCTGAGCGCCCGATTAACCACAGGCCTCCGATTTGGTCACGGGAGCAGCTGCGCATAGGACAGTCGGTCCAGTTGCTCAATGTATCCCGCTTACAGTTTGATCGGACGGCCAAAAAACGTTTAAAGACGAAATCGGACGGACCAGGATGTTAAGGCTTGAGAGGGCAGGGATTATGTGCAGTTTTACTGTCCTTAATTACCCCGGTGGCATCGGTGAGGCAGCGGCGACGATGGAACCTTGAATAATATTGCTCTGAAAGTAGTGAAAATACAATGTTACATATGCCTCTTTATAGTGGACATACAGACTGTACTTTTCTTGCGGGTATTCTAGAGTATGGTTGACTAAAATGGAATCAAAGGAATACATAGGCATATGAATACATTATACATCTTGATTTTCTGAAGAGAATATACAAAAGTTAGGGCGCTACTTGTTGTGCTTCAAATACAATCTTGGCACTATTCTTCAAACCATAACAGAGAGCTATACATTACATAATCTCTTTCATGTACTACAGTACTAGTATTTGTTGAGCAAGCAGGACACTACTGAAGTAAACCGATGAACGGAGACGTGGGGATTTTGGACTGCTCCATCAAGCATATCTGTGGATCCTCCTGGTTTGCCTGCTCCAGCAGAAATGCAGAATCGCCCCCGAGCTGTAAACAAGACTTGCTGGCATCTTTCCGAAATCACTTCAGTCTCCACCGGTCGGTCGTCCAGATCACGCCGGCCGTAGTCGCTCGTACGCAACGGCACGACGGTCACATTCCACCTTGGCCCAAACGGCGGGCGGTCCATGGTCCAGACGTCAGGGCACCGGTAAGCCTGGTGGCAGAGCGTGTCGTGTCCGCCACCTGATTCCCCTCACGATACACATGCTGCACGTGGCAAACCCGGAAGCAGCCTAGGAGTCGCACGATCTCGTCGTGCATCGCCGAGGGGATGCGCGTGTGCCGGGACTCCCTGCGCAGCAGCCTGACCAAGGTCAGGTCGTCTCCCTCCACCACCCCATCCCGAGCGCAAGCTCAAGCCCGCGCATCAGCGCCCGAGCTTCCACCACGCCCACGCCCGCATGCTCCGTCCTCTCCGCGTACGCCACTATGGCGTGGCCACCGCTGTTCCGGATCACCCCTCCGATGCTGGCACGCCCGGACCCGTCATGCTTCACCGATCCGTCAAAGTTCAGCTTGCACCAACCCAACGGAGGGCAGCTCCAGCGCACAAGCGCCACGATGCGTTTTGGCGGGTGGAACGTGTTCCCGGCGGCCGGATGTGGCCGGGGCATCGGCAGATACGGCGACGTGGTGGCATGATGGCCGAGCTGAAGGGGCACGGTCCTTGGCACGGCAAGAGTCGCCATGGCCGGCCCGCGACTAGACTAGCAAGGAGAGGCTGCGTTTAGCCTAGCTAGAGAGGTGGTTGGGAGAGAGAGAGGTAGAGAGACGATAAGGAGGAGAGGTTTAGGGCGATATAGATCGAGATTGGATGCATTAACTCTAGACATTTTTACGAAATGAGGTCGACGAAGTACTCCACTTCGCATCGTAATCCTGGTCATAAAACTAACACGTAGCAAATTCGGACATGCATTTGGCTTGCTCGGACTCAAACTAACACGTAGGAGTAGTTCAGCTTGCTCCGACTCACTGCCATAAAACTAACACGTAGCGAATTCGGGCATGCATGCATGCATTTACCACTGGCCAGCTATACTACCACACCCACGTGCAATCCTTGTCAAAGGGCATCACCAACATTGACCCGCAAATTTGCCTCCGCATCCATCAGCTTGACCATGGACACGGTTGCGTGAGACCGCCATCCAACACCGCCCGCATACATTTCGAACCAAGTTTAAACTGATTGGACAAAATTTATGCGAACACGGCGGATTTTCATATAAATCAGACGGAAGTCATTACATTTCGATCAATTTTATTAAAAAAAAGTGGTCGGAACCTAAACCTATCTTACAGCGTAGCCCGTTGTCCACTTCTTTTGTATTCCGCATAGGTGACCGCATCCGTCATCTATCGTCTCCATGAACGGTGGCGGGGTTTAAGACCCGTGAAGTGGAGGTGCGGTCTCCGGCGAGGAAGAGTAGAAAATGGGAGACGGATCGGCACACTTGGGACACATTTTCATGCCGCCTCAAATGCCCTACTCGGGCACAGATAAGTCTATGACCTATCCGTCACGGGCACCTGTGGACCTGAGGTCGATCGTGGACATGGAAGGTCTGTCAATGTCCACCTGTCACATATGTCCCCGAAAGTTGGATGGCGCTGGAGTCTTGGACCACAAACGCTACCAGCACGTGTGCGGCCCCGTCCGCATCCGACTGCTCCGGCTCTACGTTGCAAGCAGCACCTTGAGCATGCTCGGCCCTCATAGAGCGCCCGCTGCTCCTTAATGAAGTTTCTGTTCGCCATAGCCATGGCGGCCACGGCCGCCTCGCTTGAGCGCTTGTCGTGTGGACCTACGCCAGCCCGTGCTGCTCGAGGAGGGACAGGTTGTACCTCTGCTCCCCCTGCGCCTACCAGAACGGCGACATGGGAGTCGGCGCAAGCTCCTCCTCCTACGCCATTGCGGCGGCGTAGTGCGCCCGCGCCAGCTCCATGGTCTAGCCGGCATGCATTGGTGTTGGCTCCGGCGCTGTGTTATCGTCAGAGCCCGTAGGGTCGTCGTGGAAGACCTCGAGCGAACTTACCGGCATACCGTACTCGATCGGCCTAGTGCGGCGCTTCTGCCAGGCGGCTGCAAGGGCGGTCACCTTGTGCTTCAGGTCCGATGATAGTCTCTCCCACATCAAGCTAGAGCTTGCGGTCATCATGGACGCGGTGCAAGGGAGGAGGATGTGGAGCGGAAGTAGTGCGATGTGAAATTTAGCCGAGTGTGACCCTCTTTAAATAGTGGATTCCTTGGTGTATCAATGCGCGGCGTCGGAGTTGGTTCCTTGGCCGGCGAGCCAGCTTAATGGCAACATATGAACATGCGGGCATTGGACGGGCGTGGTAGATATCTGCCGCGTCTTGTACAGCAATCGTCGCTCTGACATTGAACAGGCGCGAACCCACTTCGATTGGCAACATATGTTGGCGCCAGTGAAAGGTCGCCCCCACTCTGGGCCGGCGTCATTGCGGAGCGCCACTTTACAGGGGCATGAATTCGGGCAACTGGCGCCGGAAGGAAACGCATGCGGGCGAGGGAGGATGGTTTTGTGTGCGGTAGGCCATCCCCAACGGCGAGGCGTTCGCGGTGATCGACCTCGCCAAGCTCCACGCCGTCCATGTCAACCCGCACGAGGCCACCGCATGGGTCGAGACCGGGGCAACAACCGGAGAGCTCTACTACCGCGTCGCCACGGCGGCGCCAGGGCTGGGCTTCCCGGCTAGCGTGTGCCCGACCGTGGGCGTGGGGGGCATCATCAGTGGCGGCGGCATAGGCCTCATGATGCGCAAGTATGGACTCTCGGCCGACAACGTCCTTGACGCTAGTATGGTCGATTCCAACGGGAACCTGCTGGCGAACAGGAAGGCCATGCGGGACGACCTCTTCTGGGCAATCCATGGCGGTGGGGCGGGAACTTCGGCATCGTGCTGGCGTGGAAGCTTAGGCTCGTGCCGGTCCCACACCGAACGTGACCTTCCTCAAAGTCGCCAAGACCATGGACCAGGGCGCGGTCGACGCGGTCACCAAATGGCAAATGCTCGTGCCGGCGCTCCCCGACGACCTCAGCATACGTGTGGTAATCCAAAAGAGTCAGGCCAACTTCCAGACCCTATACCTCGGCAACTGTAGCACGGTGGTGGCGACGATGCGCAGCAGTTTCCCGGAGCTCGGGGTGACAAGCGCGGACTGCAAGGAGATGAGCTGGCTGCGGTACACGGCGTACATATACTTCGGCGAGGCCATCAACAGCAAGCCACTGGAGGCGCTCCTCCTCAACCGGTCCACAACCTTAGGCCCCTTCGTTAAGAACAAGTCCGACTACGTCAAGAAAGCCCTCACCAAGGAGACCTGGAAGAAGATCTTCCTCTGGCCCAACGGCACGGGGTCGGGGCAACTCATCCTTGAGCCGCACGGCGGAATAATGGGCCGCATCTCCGCCAACAAGATCCCGTTCCCACACCGGAGCAACATGCTCTACAACATCCAATACGTGGAGCTGTGGAAGGGCAAAGAGGCCGGGGGCGACATTACACCGAACTGGATTGGGAGCCTTTACGAGTTCATGACGCCGTACGTGAGCAAGAACCCGAGGGGCGCCTACGTGAACTACCGGGACCTCGACATGGGCGTGAACAAGGTGGTCGGTGGGGTCACGTGCTATGAAACTGAAAAGGTGTGGGGCGAGAGCTATTTCGGGCCGGCAAACTTCAGGAGACTCACCAAGATCAAGCGCAAGGTGGACGCCAGCGACTACTTCCAGAACGAGCAGAGCGTGCCGCCACTTCCCTTGAAGTAGTGGTCAAGCTGTGCAAATCAATCGTGTTTGACCGTATTGTAACTGCTAATAATAGTTCTGATGAGCTAATACGGTCATTAACATTTGTCAACATAATTATGATAAAGTGCTCAATTTTTTTTCTAATATAAGTTTTCCTTCTTTCTTATTTTCAGCTGCAGCTGAATTTGTGTGAAATTTATGAGATATTTTATTAAGACTGTGCCACTACTAAGAGGTTACTACTATGAGGTAAAATAATTTTCAGGGAATTTTGATCAGTCAGTGAAATTTATAAGATAGTATTTTTTTAAGGCACAGTAGAGCCCTCTTTGAATGATGTGCAATTTTTTGCTCAATCTGTATTAAAGGTCTACAAATAATTTTCAGGGAATTTTTTGTTGATGATTAATTTTATCACCAAATTACAATCATATAGATCTCCCAAAACATTACAAGCATATATTATGAAGTGGAGCTATTTGAAGAAGTAAGAAAGCATGAAACAATGAAATTGGTACTAAATCCGAATTATGTTATGCAATGTTGATTGTTCAAGAGATGGTATATGTGCCAAGCTGAGAGGGGTGACCATGTTCAGGTTCATGGAAGGACTACAGTCTAACCACCACAACTTGTCATGTGAAAATAATGGTTAGTCAGCCAGGCAACTTATTGGTATCACAAGCTTTGGATGGGCACACACATTCAGAGTGACAGTTGATTCGAAGAGAACTAGTTGCATGAAAAGGAAGAAAGCTCTGTACCATGGCGTGCAACTCTATTTATATCTCTTCCTTCTAGGTATCCCCTTCTCGACGCGACTGATTTCATAATTTCAATCACTATCACTAGATTATCTACCGCACATGAGATTTTGGAGGAAACTGAATTCCAGTTCACCATGCCTCCATTCGCATATTTTTTTTGGTTCACGGTATTAGGAAAACAAGCAAAAATAATTCTCCTTTGGGAGCCCACAACCCACGCTACTCGTCTTTGGACATACACTGCCACAATGAACCAACTCTTAGGGATTTGCAATACAGAGATCAACACGACCATGGATAGCATCTTAAGCCTAGTGTTCACCATGAACTCGTATCACATTCCCTACTTCAGTTGGAGCACGACGGACTTCCAAAATAAACTCGAACAATGTCATTGTATCACTATTATCGTGTTGTAGTTTCATTGGAAAAAAAAAACAACGCTTTCAGCCTAATTGTTTTTATGTACACCAGTTCGTCAGAGAGTTCTCATGTATTATTTTTATTTAGTAGGCATTTTTGTTTCATGTAGAACCAATTGAGTTGTGCTTTAGATAAATATACTATGGGTCTGTAATTTGCTGTAGCGAGTGGGAGAATACCAGTTGTCGAATGAACTGCTCCCCAGACACTCCTTTCAACAACACCCACCTCCCGCTTCCTCCAGCAACCAGCAGAACCAGGCACCAGAAAAAAAATGGAGAAAATAAACAAATATTTTCTCCCATGAATAAAATTTTCAATTGCCCCTGTTTCTCGGCCACTTCGCTTCGGGTGGATGCAACTAGGTGGCGACCCCAGTCCTACCGCTTTCCTGATGAGTTTCGAGATCTCGTGATTTGTTTTTCTTTTTACTCCCTCCGTCCCAAAATGTAAGAACGTTTTTGACACTATGCTAGTGTCAAAAACGTGACGGAGGGAGTATTTTCAATCTCAATTCTTTCGCGCCATTTCTCAAATGCTTTGTGGATCTACCACGCGTATGTGAGAATCAGAGGTGAAGCAGCTGCCGCTTCTTGGTTCTTAACCCAACTCACGAGGAAGAGGAACTGGCAATGTGCAGCGGAGAGTCCTTCGGTTTTGTCGGTGGATGGATTTCCCTTGTTTTTCGTGTAATTAAGTGTGGGCTTCAAATTACTGGAGGATGTGCAGAGGAACTGGCAATGTGCAGAGGAACTGGCATGTTGCAACTATTCATGGTTCAGGAAAGATACAGGTCCCAAGCTGTGAGGAGCGACCATGGTATCATCTGAAGACTATTGTCTCGAGCAAAACTAGTCTTGCGTGAAAATGGTGAATCAAAAAGGCAAGTCACTGGTGTCACAAAGTTTTCATGGCCACACACATATAGTGTGACGGTTGTTTCCAAGAGAACTGATTGCATGACAAAAGAAAGCTCTGTAATTGTGGCATGCAGCTCCCTGTATATATATCTCATTCGCGGAGATACGACCCCCATAACTCCAACATCATGATATCCTCCACCATCACTAGTTTAGCTATCGCGCCTGAGAGTTTGGGGGAAATCAAAATTACATTTACAATCTCTACAGTTTGTGTATTTTTAGTTTGCGGCATGATGAAAACAAGCAAAGCAGTCTCCTGGTATTTGGGCGACACACTATAATCGCATGTTGATATGCAGGGCTATACTGAACCGGGTTTCAGAATTTTGCAGCATTGGACCCAACACAGAAGTGGTGTATCTACATATTCGATTCTATACCGCTAGTAAACGTGCACGTGCAATGCACATATAACTTTGAGAAAGAAAGAGACACTCCTTGTGATGTGCACGTGTAACTTGGAAAAAAAATCCAGCCGCGCATCTTGCATCAAGACACGCCTTGTGCTATGCATATGGAAAATTTTGAGCTTGTGCTTTGGAGAACACGCCTCTAATAATTCACTAATGTCATTCTCCGCCCCGTCACTCTCTAAATCTAAGCATATTTTCCTCCACTTAATATCATAATCAAACAAACATTTCAAGAACAAGATGTGTGTTAGAGTCTATCTAGGGATTGAATCTCTGCAACGATGTGTGGTCTCTGTTTGTTACAGATAAGATGACAGATACAAGCCGGTGGCCTCAGCCACTACCAATTCGCCAAGCCTCTTGCTTAACACTACGTACATACTTATACTAATCACCCGAGGACCCAGTCTTTCTTTGCGTATCTCGTTGATGGTTGATGGGCTCACTTTCAGGTCTTGGTCAGCAGGTGCACTACTAACACTAGTAGAGTGCCCGTGCGTTGCCACGGGCTCTTGAAATATTTTACAAGAGTTACATGTTAAATTACAAATGTATAAACAATATAACACAAACACAATTATTGAATAATTGAAATCCATTTTTGTAATGTAAATTGATAACAAAAAGAAAGATTAAGGACATGTCCATGTAACAAACTAAGTCATGTTCCAACTAAACATCTATTACAAAACTATCCATATCTAGATGATGCACTTAAGAAATTATTTCGCAATATAAGGAAAGTTGTCTTTAGCTTCATTCCCACGATGATTTAGCAAGTACTCCCTCCGTCCCAAAATTCTTGTCTTAGATTTGTCTAGATACGGATGTACCTAATACTAAACGTGACTTGATACCTCCGTATTTAGACAAATCTAAAACAAGAATTTTGGGACGGAAGGAGTATAATAAAAACCGCTTACTCAACTCATACCCATCCCGCACAAACAATATATGTAGTTAGTATGAAAATTTCATGCCGAAGGTCTTAAAACAATACTCACCGCGCAAATCGGCTTGACCAATTCATTACCGTTCCACCAGAGCATAAAATGAAAAACAAAATAGCCAAACACATTCCTGTATTTTTTTAAATTAATAATAAGATCAATATAGTGATAACAAAAATAAATCTTTTTATTATGAATTCATTACCCATCTATACTCGTTGGAATACCAAACGAAAATAAACGTTGCCATTTAGGTATATCGGAATTCCAACCAAACAGCTTTATTTCAAGTGCTTCTTTGAAATCTTTTGCAAAACTTTTTAATTTCGGTGCATGCCTCAAATTTTTATCCTCTGACAATTGTGATGTTTGAATAAGGTCCATAATATTTAGACGACGTGCCTCTTTGTCGGTGACATACAAGATGTGTCGGCCGATGGATGCATAGGGAAGATAAATCGACAAGCTAGTGGAGTTATTACAAACAACAATAAACCATGATAACAATAGACAAAATACTTTACTTACCATGTTGCACAATGAGATGTCGTTGTCCATCCCAGGCCAGCTATCAAATAATGTCACCAACGTCTGGATAGTTTCCTTGTTGCAACACTTCTGACCTCGGGTTGACTCTGGCATCTTGGACTAAGTAAAAAAAAGAGATATTATTTCAAAATGTTGATACTAATGCCACATAGAATGAAGAGTTATGATAACTTACACAAAATCTTAGATCCATATAGTGTATATAGGAGGGTCTGTGAAAATACTCCCTCGTCACATGACAGTATATGCACGGCGGTGTTGAAGCAATCATTGTCCATAGGTTGCTCCATGTTAAGTATGCACTGAAATTTCTCAAGACTTAAACCCATTGGATGGGGTGTCGAGCTCCGAGCTCATTTCTTCCTAAAAATTGGATGGTAAGAAGAATAATAATGTATATGCGCACATTAAATTTTTTCTTGTCTAGTAGAACACATGTGCGTTGCCACGGGCTTTTTTTCTTCCTTGATTGCACATATAAATATAATGTATACCACTCATGGAAGTGAAAAAACTCATCCAAATAATAAATATGTGACTCGTTACACAAATTTCTGTAATTCAACAATGTATACAAAGAGAGCAATGGTAAGTATCTATTCCAACTAAGATCTATTTAATGCACTCGAGATATTCCTATACAACGCCGCTTGAGATATTCTTGTACAATGTCAGGAATGTTGTCTTTCGCTTCGTTTGCAAGTAATACATATAATTAGCATGAAAAATTTACATGGAAGATTTATGAATGTGCAATATAGAATACCCATCGTGCATTTTATAAAGAACCTGGTTATATATTCTGGCCATATATATACAACGCAGTGTCTCACTTTATCCGGATGCCCCTCGGTGACTTTGCCATGGTTGTCTCCGCCGTGTGCGAACAGAGCATGAACTTTATTCTCCCAACATTTCGACACATAACTAAGGAAACTAAACAAAGTAAAAAATAAGACTTTTCAGTTCAACTTTTTTGTAGGATCTTGCATA